ATGAATTATGCCCACTCCTACTTTCAAATTTCATACTATGAATGATTTTTAGTAAAAACTATAGATCTATTGTATACAAAGCTATGCTAAACTTAAAAAGCCAAACAAAAAAAAAAAAGTTTTTTAACGGTTAAAAGGAATTGGCCGAATACGAAAAATCGCGGCGGCTTCCGGCCATCGAACGCTTAACTGCCGCTTGAGCGGTTGCGGCGGCCGCGTTTTTGAACAGTGGTTTTTACTGTCTAAAGACCATCCAAATTCAATATAAAGTTTGCAGTTTTGTTTGCGTTCAATAGTGCAAACAAAAAAAAATCACAAAAAATTAACAGATCTAAATTATAAGGCATTTAAAATTAACAAATGAATCTTACATAAAATATTACAAAAATTGTAGATTTATTTGAAAAAAAAAAGTATTATTAACGAACATTTGATATAAGAAAGAAATACTCAAACTCATGGCAGTAAAAAAAAAAAGAGAAATATGAGCCTCTGTTTTGAATTATGTCACAATACTATAGTGAACACATACAACTACTGATCCCTAAGGACACTATAGAAATCCCCATTCCGTATAACTCTCACATACAAATGAAAAGATTGTAACAACTTTTCAGGAGAACATTAATACCTCTATTGCGACTCATCTCCTACAGACTCTTGCGACTCTCGATACATCTCTATTGCTTTAAGGATTTGAATATATGATCAAGTGTGTGTTGTTGGGTTCTAAAGAAACAACAAGTTAGCATTTGGTTGATGTACCCTCATCACCTCCTTCCTCCACGTTGTCCCAGTCTTGGACCAGGGTTTCTTGAAAACTGGATTTGCAAAATCTTGGAATCAGGTTCAACTTCATCCATTCGATAGCCTGTCAAATGTGCGATAGCATCAGTTAAGCACAAGGTTGAGTGTCTTTCTACAGGAAACCGGCAACATGATGAAACTATATGTTGATGAAGATTGTCTATAACAATAATAAGGCTACATAAACTCAATATGTGTTGGACCATATATTCCCAATTTCGGAAGCAGAGAAAATCTTAGTAACCTTGCAGGGCGGTCCGAGCAGTTGCTGCACACGCATGATTTTCAAAATCAACAAAACAAAGAACAACTGGATCTCCATTCCTCTGCATCAAAGCCATTTAGTAATTCAAAACTAATGAGATTCTAGGATGGTTTAGTTTCAACAATGCTTCAAGTGGGAAACAGTGAATCTTACTTGTTTTGAATCTTTGATCACAAGTCTAACTTCTCTATATCCCAAAAAAGGCCGAAATATATCTAGACTTCTTCAGTTAAGGACAGTGAACAGCTCAATTAAGTGACGATGTCAATAGTGGCGTAAAAACTTTAGAAACGAAATCATCAACACAGGATACGAGCTACTTCCCTCCTTGAGCAATTAGAAGGAAGTCCTTCGACATATAGAGTGTTGGATGCATCTGGAGGTAGACGAAGCAGTTCCCGGCTAGGCCTACCAACTAAATCTTGTTGACCAAAACCCATATCCCGACCATTCGGCCCCAGAATTCCACCACGCACAGTCATGAGCTCACCCATGGACGGACTAGGCATCATGCTGTTACCTCCTCCTGCTCTTCCCATGCCAACACCATTAAATGGACCAACTTCTACAGACGGCGTAGAAGGCGTTTGCTACAAAACAGGGAAGAATTCAGTTCACTGAGAAGAGACCAGACATTAAACATAGTAAGTGAATAAGGATTGTACCACACTCTGCAGTTAGAGGTCATAAGCAGACCCAATAGTTCTCGTATCCTTTACCGAATGAGAGATACCTCGATCCTCATCCCGTGACAGGTAACTCTCCACATCATTCCCTGAGAATAAGACAATGCAACAATTAAGACTCTTTGAATACACAAAACACAATCATCATTCGATCGTAGACATACTTGGAACAATCAGATCAATACTCCTACGATAGTAGCACAAGAATGCCTACTAAAACAAGAACAAGGTGAGATTTGAATCACAAAGTATGGAAACAGCTCCTCTAGGTCTATAAATCACAACAACACGAGCGGGATTGAAAAAAAAGGTAGAAAATTTAGCTTTACCGAAGTCAGGACGGGGACGTTTCGGAGGACCACCGTGAGGGATCGGTGGCTGATACTGTCTCTGCTGATTCCAGTACCCATCTGCCATGGAACGCGACGGAAACAAGAAATCACACACCTCTCAATTCAGGAAATTAAGAAGAAAGCCATAATTTCAAGAACAAAAAGCTTCGATTTTTAGCTGCTAAATTCTAAATTCGCTCGATTTCAGTTTCGAGTTTTCTTGTTCGTGAACAACGATCCGAATCTGGATAACCCGACCCGGTTTAATTGACCTGATCCACTCTGGCGCCAATTTTAACGGGCCTTTGGCCCATTTAACCAAAACGATAATATTTTCCCTCATACCCTTAAACAAAACCTCAAATCAAGAAGCAAAGAAAGTGTGTTTGAAAAACGACGACGAACCTTGTGGAAAATTAGTCGGCACCGGAAAAAGGTCGTCCGATGTCATCGACGACGGAAGAAAACTGGGTCCCGGAAAGAGTAGTCGGCACCGGAAAAAAGAATTTCGGCGTTGTTGACGACGGTTCGATTAGCATTCTCCATAGCAGCAAACCAAGAGTCCGGAGATAGCGAACCACCACGAGATTCCATCAACTACGGTGGATGGTTTTCCGGTGAGATTCTGTACCAGTGGTTTGAAGTCATCTCTGTGTACATGAATGATTTTATCGGGAAGTATTGTGCGTATCAACACAGGAGGACGACGACGACGTTGCGGTGCTTCTTGCTCGTGAGGATCTTTCATTGGAGTTTGTTTTCTTGGGTCCATGGTTTCTCTTGTTCTGTTATTAATCCACATAATCAAATTTATGACTATGAGGAAAAATATGTATAGACGTGTGTGTCTTGTGAAGTGTGATGAAAGTACGATTATTTTTTGTGTGTGTGTTGGATTTCGATAAACAAAGATGAAAGATCCGAAGTCGGAAGACCCGACCCGGTTTTTATAGACCCGATCCATTCGGCGACAAAACGATTCTATATTATGGCGCCAATTTAAAAATCGGCCTATAAACTAATAGATTCGTTGGCCCATTTCATCTGCTAGGGTCAGTTCTGGGTCGCTTGGAAGTACAGGTGATTTCGATTATTAGTACTTTTTATAATTACGGATTTGGTGTTTATGTTATGTAAATTCCACATAGTGATTGATAGAATATTTAGTGGGATTTGATAAGTAAATTAGTATTATAGAAGATTTATTAGTAGAATATTTAGCCAGATTTGTTGAGTGATTGAGGAAGGATATGTTTCCTTAATTTATCTAGGGTTCTTGGTTTCTAGACTCTAGAGATGGTAAACGGTACGTTTGGAGATTCAGAGCACTCTTAAATCATACAATATGAGCAAGACTAATGAACTTTTGACTCAAGAAATCTGGGCCAACGAATTTTGGATATCTGAAATGTTCCTCGATCGAATTTTGTTTCATTACAATATATATTCTTGTGTGGATATCTAATAACAAAATCATGGATTTAGTTTTAAATAATAGGTTGCTTGGCTGAATCTAAGATGTTAACTCCAAGAAACAGAGCTTATAAATCAGCCAAGAAAGCTCAAGAAGCTGTAGCAGCAGAGTAATCTGCTAAACTGAGTGCCGCGAAAGAGGCGATAAACTCTCTAATAGCTCAAGTAATCTCTAATCCGAACCTCCCTAACGTCGAATTGGTAAAGCAAAGTAGCTGTGGAAAAAGACTAAACTTTTGCATGTTTTGCTTTATGTCAACACAGCTCAAGGATGTAGCAGAGAAGTTGCCTTCTAGTACTAATGGCCAAAATGGTTTTCATTTTCCACAAGAAAATCGAAAAACGTTGGAACCAAGCAGTCTCGAGTCACCAGAATGGATTGAGCAGTATGATCGGGGCGTGTATATAACCTTTAGAGTATGTCCTTTCATGACGGATCTAGAGATCTAAGACGAGTTCGCTTCAGATTCAAATCAAAACTCTAGTTTTCATATTGCAATGCGTTTTTGGCCTTGTAGTTTTTTCTAACTTTCATTTTGAATTCGTCTGTGTATGAATTCTCAATTATAGAAGCA